TTTAAAAAATATTGTTTATTTTAATAGCAATGTTTAATATCTAGGTGACAATTTCACCATCTTAATGTATTATGTTTCAGAGACACATGAGGCTAATAGGAATGAGATGACTACCTATGTGACCTAAAACATTTATCTGAGACCCCAACTACTCATGTGACCTAGAATATTTATTTTGGACCCTGACAGACATATCAACTTCAGTGGCATAAATACTTATATAGAAGTTGACCTTATTTATAAATTTCAAAGAAAATATTTAGATCCCCAAATCTCTGCCTCAGAAAAACTTCATAAGATATACTTACGAGGCCAGAGGGTGGTGGAAATGGCTGCTACCCAGTCATAAGTGAGCAGATGTCACGGCTGTGCACTGTGACCAATAGATTTATAATTGCTATAAGCTAAAAATGCCCACAGTCAGGGTTATACTAAAGGTTGTGTATGATGAATTGGGTGGGAAATGGAGTGCTTAAAACCTAAAGTCAGTAATTTTTTCGTATTGTGTTTGTTTGTTCATTCATTTAAACCAATGATATTGAACGTGTCAAAAGAAAAATTGCCAACAATTCCTTGGAGACAATGTCCCTAATGAAGTTACAAAATCAAGTCCCAATCCTAGAGCCAAATCCCTCTCTCCCCTCTAACAATAATAGAGTGGTAACACCCTTTTGTATTATGTATAGAAGAGTAAGTGGAGATGGTCTGGAGCTGCCCAGCAGCTTAATTTTCCCAGCAAGTTACAATTTTTCTTTAACTCTCTTCCCTCCCCTAAGATACAGTAGGGTAAGCACCAGACTGGAAATCAGATGACCGGGTTTCAGCTCTACCTCTAACCAGCTGGGAACATCTTCAGCAAGTTACTTACTATCTCTGATTCTCGGCCTCTTCATATGCAAAAGAGAAACATTGTCATTTTTCAAGCTAACCTAGATTGTTATGAAAGTGCGTGCTACATGATTACACCTATAATGTATTCATTCCGTCAAGAATAGAATCACTTACACTTCCAAACCGTAATTAAAAATGAATAAAAAGAATAGGCTAGAGCAGCGGTTCTCAACCTGTGGGTCGTGACCCCTTTTAACTGTATTAAAGGTTTGCGGCATTAGGAAGGTTAAGAACCACCGGAGAAAAAAGAGAGGAAGAGTGGCTGACACTTTTCTCCTTCTCTAGCGCTCTGCATGAACCTCCACTATGGAATTTGGTCATTTTCAATGAATGTGTCTTACCTAGATGAAACTTAATTTCCTGAAAGATAAACAAACTTTGTTCCCAGTTTCCAGCAAATCTTTGATACTGGGACATATTTTAGGCCATAAAAAGCAAAATGGTTGGAATTAAAGCGTCCATTCTCACTTACTACAAAGTAGTGGTGGCCATTTGGGGTGTTTGCTTCCTTCCGAGGTTGGTAGATGCAGATTATCACGACCTCTCTGGGCAGGTTGCTGTCTCTTGATTATAAAACTGTGTTTCCTTTGTGGAGCAAGCCCTTTGCCTCCACTCCAGGACAGAATGATTCCCGTTTCTTGGGTCTCATGAGTTTTTCTTTCTCCTAATTGATGCCTTTGGCAGCTCTTTCTCATGTCTTTCTTGACCAGAGTTATTTTGTACCAATTGTCCTGTTGCCTTTCAGAAGCAGACCAGTTCTTCAGTGCAAGGTAAGGCCGCTCCAGAAACAATATTAGTATTCACATGATATACTGGGCATCTAAAAGGGCAGATGCCTTGCGGGGCAGTGTAGCAGAATAATCAAAATAACCCTGAGCCATAGCAAGAGGGAACACAGGCTTTGTCCAAAACAACTTACTGTGTCATCTTGGGAAGATGACTTAACCCCTCCACATCTTCTCTCAGTACAATAAGTGGTGAAAAAAGATAATTTCTGAGCCCTCTTTTATTCTGGATATCCAGAGTTAAAGGCATATTTGTGTCACTTTATGGTGACAGCAGAATTGTCTGTATATTGAGAAGGGTTAGAGTCAAAGCCAAGAAAATCAGCCCTACATTAGGCCCAACAATAAATCTCTGTAATCTTGGAATAAATAAATGTGAGAAAAGGGCTAGTGAACCGGATTCCCTATGCCTGTGAGCCCATGTCAGGTGTGTACTTCAGCAGCAATCCTGGGGACTTTCTATAATGGCTAAGGAAAGTTGGGCTGATTAAAGCTTCCAGAATGAGTGAGTTGGCTAGCCACATGCTTCAGTAGTTATTAAAATTATGACCATATATTATATCTTTCTCTTGCCGGACTAGCATCACCAAAATAGCCACTAATGTCATTTTGTTCTTCCAACTAAAACGTTAAGGAAGAATGTCATCACTCAGTAAGTAGAGATTTGTTTCACTAGACACCATAAGTTCATAGGTCATTCATTCTTTCAGTGAACACTGAGAAACGGCTGTGTACCAGACACTGTGTGAGATTCTGACTGGACAGCGTATATGAATCAGACCTCTATCTGTTCCAAGGGAGTTTATGCACAAACACGCACCCTCTTACATACACTCATACAGCTATAATAAACGGCAAAAATGATAAATAAGCACCAGGAGGGAGGCACAGATGAAGCAATCAGAGAAGGCAAATATTCCAATTCAGGGCACAAGGCAAGAATTTTATGGGGTAAGAATCGTGTACTATGTCTTGAAGGCTGGATTAGGGTTGACCTGTGGAAATGACATGAAATAGCAAAGGCTAGAAAACACATCATAAGTGAGAATGAAACGGACACCAGTTATAACACCTAACATTTACCGAGTACTAAGAACTTCAAATATAAGGTCTCAGAATCCTCATAACCACCAAGGGCTGGTCTGACTGCTCGCCTATCTTCAGATGGAAAAACTAAGGCCCAGACACCTTTCCCCAGTTCTCCCATCAAGACATAGGAAACTGCTAAGGATAGCTGAAGCACGTGGCTGTAGCAGGGAAGAAGGAAAATATCCAAATGGTTCCTTGTGGCTGGAGAATAAATAGACTAGAATGCTGGATTCAGTGAATGAAACTTAGGGGGAATTCAAATGAACTAAATAGGCAGCAAAAAGTCAGACCCTCCATACTCACACGCATAAAGCAAAACCAAGCAAAGCTCTCTCTGCTCTGCACATCATTTAAAGTGGCCCCAAACCAACACTCCTTGAGCGCCTTGTCAGTGACCTTTGATGTGGCAGTCCCATCTCAAAGTAGTATCAGTGCCTTTTCTAATACGACCCTGTCCTCAGGCATGAAGGTGGGGAAACCGGGCTGGAACACAGTTCATCTTTTTAAAATGTTACATTCAATTTAGGCTTTGATATTTAAAAAATGTATATATGTATGCAGGCACCTGACATGTATACATTATATGTTATGTACATTATATACACTATAATGCTTGCCAATCATTTCCATCCTACCATTGGGAATTGACAACTGAAGATGATACAACTTAAAATCCCCTGGCACTTACACACTCTCCACATTGCCCAGGAAACAATTAAATTGTGTCGCTTCTGTGCTTTAGTCATCATAACATGATTCTATTACTCCACTGAGTTGGTTGGTAACCAGATGTACATAAGGCATTTAGCAAAGACAGGTCCCCTAAGTGGACACACGTTAATTCCTCCCTAAAAGTCTTGTAAATAAAAGATGTACCAGAACCTTAAAGGATGCTCTGTTGTCACAGAGATTAGTAAATTGGCCTGGATTTTGTTCTCTTGTTTGATCAGCCGTTTAGGAATTAGCTTCCCCTTAGCCGGCTACACTCATATTAAAACTGTGTATTATCTACACCAGTGTTTTCTGTAAAATATGAAATTCCGATGAGATGTTTGTATGCTGCCGTTAGTAAGTTTGTGCTATGGGGATTTGTACTGAGTCTACTTTATTTATAATTGGTTTATCATTTCAGCAGCTATGCAGAAATACGGTTGATAGCTAAAACATGCATCCTCCAAGGACATCTATTCCAGGTCTCTAAGTTAAATTAGCAACGTTTTTATCCCTGTCTTGCATTTTCCCATTTAGCAAGCTGCTTTAATAATCCTAATAGCTATTATTTATTGAGCTTTTGTCATTTTTTGTGTTTTTCGACTCTGATTTTGATCAAATTTTAAAAAGACTCGAGACATCTCTTGCAGTTGTTCTGGGTTATGATTTTAAGGTCTGATGCCTTTAATACAGCAGAGCATTCAGTGAGTAACCTAATACCCGTGTTTCCTACAACTGGTAGTAATCCCGTGCTGAAATCCTATGAGTGCAGTGATGTTCCCCTGAGAAAAAATGTTTTAAAAGCTTATTTTAGAATGGAGATAGTCATTTGGTATTGTTCACTTAGAGAGAATTGTCAAAGGAGATATAAAAGCAATGGTATTTCTCTAGATAAATGTTCACAGCCATTCCAATGTTCAAATTCAAAGCTTTAACTATTTCAGCCATCTTTTCTCCCCAGCCACTAAATGATTTTTCCCTTACATTTCTTCATATGTTATGTATTTTTACATAGCCTGGTGGGTAGTTGGACATTTTTTTGCCTGTCTACCTATACATACTCATTTCAATAATTCAGCATATAATTTTAGGGGTATTTAATACACAACTGGTGTTTGTAGAAGCCTCTTCCACTAATTATTGGATTAAAGTGGAATGCATAGAATTATTTGAAATTGTTTCAGTTTGAAATTACCCAAATTATAAGGGTTACTGTTTAAAACATGACATGTCTTGCCAGAGGGAGTTCCATTTTTTAAAAATTTTTTTTAAGAGATGGAGACTTGCTATATTGCCTAGGCTACACCCAAACTCCTGGATTCAAGCAATCCTGTTACCGCTGCCTCCTGCGTAGATGGGACTTCAGGTGCGAGCCACCACCTCCCACTTGCCACAGGGAATTTTAAGTAGCCATCTGTGACCATTAGAATGCATATCTCAAAGAAAACTGAAACCACCACTCAAGTTTTTCATGTATTATTGAACAGAAAGACCCACTCAATAAGAAATCAAACTCTTGTTTTCCATAATTTCACCATAATTTTATTTTATATTTACAGTCTTCAATTTTTAATGCAAGGATTTTGCTGAGGATTTCGGGGATTAGGGAATAGAGATGGGGTGTGGCGGGCAGGGATCAGAGGTCTGATATGGACAACAGTAATTAATAAAGCTAACAGGACGTGAAAGTCTTCCAGAAGAAATTCTTGCAGCCAGCTTTGCGTTCTCGAGGGGCCATCGCTGGGTTCGAGTTAGCAGATCTCTGCAGCTCCAGCCTCATTTCATCCTGCTCAGCGGCGGGGGACAAATCTTCAGGTTCCAGGGCATCGTTCTCCGTCTGGTTGGGTTCAGACAGCAGCTCTGCCAGGAAGTACTTGGCCAGTTCCTGTATAGGGAAGAAGGGAAAGGAAAGGAGAGAAAGAGGAAAGGAGGAGGAAGAGGAGAATAGGGGGAAAAAATGGAAATGCTTAGTTTGAAGAACAGATTTAGTCACACGCACAAGCCCCAGTTTTCACAGCTGTGCAGTTTTGTCACACTTAAAATCAATTAAGGATATCAAATAAACGGAGTTGATACAGTCACCAAGTTACACAGTAAAGCTACGGAAACGCGAATGTCCCTGCACGCTTTATGCCCCTGCAGGCTTCACACATGCGTCATTAAACCGGTTTTTGCAAAGGTAAAGGATGTGCTGACAGTTGAACTCAACCTCCATAATGAGCTACGAAGGGGAATCGTTCTCACCGTCTTTACGACGCAAACTGTGGCGGAACAGGGCCTTTTACCATTGCGAATAGACCGTGTTCGGTCAGTAAAGCGTCCCTTGCCCCAAGCCCCCTTGTATGAAAAGAAGGTACCGCTTAGGAAGGCGGCTGCATCCGGGGGCCAGATTTCAGCACCTGGGTCAGCACCTCCCTTGAGCCCCGGGGATGGAGGCGGTCATCCCTTTCGGCTCAGACAACTATCCGGGGCTTGGAATTTTCTTGAATACCAAAGAACTCACCTGAATACTGGCCAGCTGCTCCGACCAGGTAAGAGGGGATGCTAGACTTTGAAAGTTTTCGCAAAAACTTTGGAAGCTGAGGGAGGAACCCAGGAAAGCCCCAATCCAGCACCTCTCAAGCGCAAAGGCTAAGGGAGGAAGGAGATCCGGGAGAGGGGGAAAGGAAAAGAGAAAGACGTCGAGGGAGTCTGCTTACCTGCTTCCCTGCGGCAGCGGCCAGGGACTTCTGCAGAAACTGACGGAGTCTGGGGTCCGAGGGCGCGGCGGCGACACCGCCCAGGGCCAGGACGATGGAGAGCGCAGCCAGCGCGCACTGAAGGCGGCAGGACAGCATCTCGGCGGCGCCGGGGATGCCGATCTAGAGAGCGGTGGGTCAAACTCCAGGAGCAAGTCTGCAGGCAGCGGCGACCGCTCGGATCCTCGGCCACTCCTAAAGCGGCTTGCGAGCTCTCAGCCGTCTCACCCCCTTTTAAACACTCTCTCTGACGTCAGGATAGGAGGCGCCCCCAGATCTCACCAGCGCTTTTACGCACCATTAGCCTCGGGAAATCACTCACAGAAGTGAGGGGAGGCGGCACAATCTAAAGTGGCTCACTTAAATAAATAAATAAATAAAACCGCGCCCGCACCAGCACACAGGATCCCACATGCTGCACTATTCATGCAGTCTTTTATTTCTCTCGCTGATAAGAACGCATTCCATAATTTCACTCACACACACGCACAGCTGCACACTCGCTGACACACAAACAGATGCTCCAAGAGCCGCCCTTGAAAAGCAAATACACAATGGCACGTAGGTGCACACGCATCAGTGCACCTGCACAACTCCGCTGTCGTTGTGCTCAAACATTTTAGGAGGGCCAGACAAATGCAAAAAGTGTGTGTGTGTGGCAAGTGGAGATTCAGAATCATTGCTCTCAAAACAGATTTGAGAATGGGATGTGCACAGGAGATGAACTGGCCCCCTTCCTCTTCCTCCATTATCTCTGTAAAAAAGCTTGTAGAGGAGCGTGTAATGAATGGGGCTCTACCTGAGCTTTCTTCTCCTCTATGGTGGGGGAGAAGGTAACTCTAGCTCCCCTCCCCTCTGTCTTTCCCAACAACAGAGAAACTTCTGATCTACCTGCCTTTCTACTATGACAAAATATACTGAAAGACAGATAGAGGGAGAGAAGGCAATCTCAGAAATTTCTAATAAACCTCGGAATGTGAATCTTTAGGGCCCAGAAAGGGTGGGTAAGTTGTGCTGACTCACAGACTGCACAGTTTATACAAAGACCAGGCCTCCACATTTCAAGGTCGGGGTTCTTTCCATTCAACTCTGAGTTTTCTAACAGATTTCTGGCCAGTGGGAACAAGGTCAGATCAGGAACCCCTCAGTCTGAACATATAAGAGTCCAGGAACCCCCTGAAGACATGACCCTTGTTATATGTGTATACGTAGGCAAAGAATCAGTACACTCTCAGCTACATACAGCCCTCTCTGCTTCCTTAAACACACACGCACAGCTTAAGGAAACCTGTCACAGGATTCTGATTGTAGTCTGGTTAAGGGTTTGCTGCCCCGGTCAGAGTTCTGACAGGTTTTTGCCAGATACTTCTTTGTCAAGGAAAGGGCAGCTAATTTCCTGGCACCAACCAGATGATCCCTTCCTCTTCAAGGGCCGATATTTTATGAGCTTTAAAAAACCAATATTAGCTAAAAAGATACGCTGCGTCTCCAGAAACCAAGGGAAGCTTGCCTTGGGAATTTGAATATTCTCAACGCATAGACCCAACCCACACTGTTGAGAGACAGGAGGGGTTTGGAAGATGTCCTGAACGGCTTGAATAATTGTCACTATTTCCTTTCATGCCTGTAAGCCAAGACAATGAGGGGATGCACAGCAAAAAAGTGGTAAAGCTTCCACGGCTTTGCAAATTCTGAGCCTGAGTACAAAGTGAGGCATTAAAAAGTCACTCACGCGTGTGGGAATAGTCCAGGGAAGCAGTGAGTCTGGAGCTACGGAGCCGGACCAAGAAACACATGCTGTAGTCGCTCCACATCCTGTGGCTCTCCCTGGCCCTTGACTGGGGACTCAGAGTTTAGTTACATTATTATAACTCCCCCAACACACCTCCAAATGATCTCCTATCTCCTTTACAGGACTTGGTCCTCAGCACTCCCACTGAGGAAGGAAGGAGAGCTTTTTTTCTAAAACAAGGGCCAGCCGAAGAGCAAACCGCAGCTCCCCATCTTGCCCGGGCTCCACAGCTCCCCATCTTGCCCCGGGCTCCACAGCTCCCCATCTTGCCCAGGCTCCAGCATCTCTTCTTACTCCCCCCCAGACTCCAGCTCCTCCTCTTCCTCACCCCAGCCTCCCTCCCACGTGTTTTCCTCTCTCCCCTTCTCCTTTCCACAGCCTTTCTCTGAATTCCTTTCCCAGGATCTTCCTTGTTTAATCCTTCTTTTCATTCTTTCTCCCTGTCCTCAATCTCTTGGTTTCCCTCCCTCCCTCCACCATTTTCTGACATTGATCTGGCTCCATCTGGCTCTTTTTTTTGCCTTCTCCACTCTTCTCCCTCCCTCTTCACCCCAGTTAGCCATCCTCTACCCCAGATTGTGCCTTTAGGCATCTCCTCTCCTCTCGTCTCCTACTTTCCCCTTGAACTCATGGCCTCTGGCTGTTTACGTGTCTCAAAATAAGGATTTCGTATTGGAAGAAAACCTGACAGTTATGCAATGCCATGGAGAGCTTATGTAATAAAGCAAGGAGGCTGGTGGAAACCCAGTGAAAGTCTGAGTTTCTTCCTTCGTAAGTCCTGTTGAAGGGCGGAGGCTGTAAATGAGACCATTTCTAGGTTTTATCTTTGTTTTGTTTTATGGCTTCTGATTGTTATGAGTTAAAGGACACTTAGAAGGGGAGCCAGACATGAATTCTCCCTTAAACCCCCACCCATAGCCAATTTAGCACAAAGGTTGTCTTACGCAAAAGCACTACAAATCGCTCCAAACGAAGCTCTCTGCAGTCAACCCCCAGAGTCCCTCTCCCAGTTCCCAGATGCTGGCAGGGGAGGGTGGTTTGTGGCTGTACTGGGTGCCCGATTTCAAGACCTACCCAGGTCACTAGGACTCACCTCCTCCCATTCTTACACAGCCCTCTATGGTTCACAAGCACGTCCTCCTCCAGGCACTCTCAGAGCACGCTACTCCCACCTCACAGCAGAGGGCACACAGATAGGAAAGGGCCAGGTCAAAGGGAGAAGGCTACTTCCCTTCAGAATGCTTCACCCTCCCCTGACTCAGAGACTCCAGAAACACCAGCAGCACTGGCACAGCCAGGACACAGACGCCCCTAGACGGCATCAGGCTTCCTCTGTGTGGAGATCTTCTGGCTGGGACGTGATTTTCCTTGTGGAATGTGCATTGGAGGTGACAATCTGCCATAGCGAGAAGGAGAAACTCATTTACAAAGAAGACAATGCAATCTGTGAGGAGACACAGACATTGAGTACTCAGTGTCACAGGGAAGGAGAGCCGGGAGACCTGGGTTTTCATCTGCTTCTGCCACAGCCAGCTGGGGGCATTCTCGCTGAGCCTTGGTTTCCTTGTTTACAATATTAAAGCTTGATCAGACATCTGTATGATTCCTTCTGGCCCCAGTAATTAACAAGCTTGAGTTGGAGGAGATAAAAGGGCAAACTAGAATATGCGTGGCACTAGAGTGCTTAAGTGTCTCAAAATGAGGATTTTGTATTGGAAGAGAACCTGATATTTATGTAATGAAGCAAGGAGGCTGGTGGAGAGGACATTTCACAGGCCTGCTAGGAAACCTACTCTTGAGTCCTGCTCCGGCTACTGACATGCCCTCCCTACTCTGGGCCTCAGGTTATCCATCTGTAAAATTGATTCACTAGATTTTTTTCCTCTTTTTTTTTTTTTGTTTGTTTTTTTGAAACAGAGTCTCACTTTATCACCCTTGGTAGAGTACCGTGGCATCACAGCTCACAGCAACCTCCAACTCTTGGGCTTAAGCGATTCTCTTGCCTCAGTCTCCCAAGTAGCTGGGACTACAGGCGCCCACCACAATGCCTGGCTATTTTTTTGTTGTTGCAGTTATCATTGTTGTTTACTGGCCAGGGCCAGTTTTGAACCCGCCACCTTCCATGTCTGTGGCTGGAGCCGTAACCACTGTGCTATGAGTGCTGAGCCACACTCGATTATTTCTATAAGTAATTACTGAGAAGCTGCAGTATTTGAGTTGCTGATAATAAGAGAACTGGACAGACAAAATCTCAGCAAGAGAGATTAAACAATAAACACATTTATTACTACATTTCCAAACTTACAAATGTTTTTAAATTTTTTTAACATTTTTTGTAATTTCAGATTGATCCGAGGGTACAAACATTTAGATTACATTGTTTTCATTTCTAAGGTAAAGTTCAGATTGCAGTTAAGTCCTTCACCCAAGCAGCATGCTAAAGACTTTCACATAACTGGCAAGGGTTAAAACAAAGTATGGATGACGATGGCAGGTAGAAGACCCCTCTGGGAAGGAGCTCTTTGAGGAGAGACCTGAGTGAGGTGAGCGAGCCAGGCGTGCAAGTATCTGAATGAAGGCAATTGCTACTCATGTGGAAAGACTTTCAGTGCAAAGGACCCCAGGCCTAAGTGTGCTTGGCACACTCAAATAGCAGCAGCAGGACAACAGGTCCCACACAGTGGGTGAGACAGAGAAGGGTGGGAGAGGGGGCAGCAGGGCAGCAGGTGACAGAACGTGGAGAGCCGTGAAAACCATGGGACGGAAACCATTGAAGAATTTTGAGCAAGGGACTGACCTGATTTGATTTAAAAAGAAAAAATACTGCCTTCCGTCGGGGGAGACTTAACTGCGGAGGGCAAGGGTCCAAGGAAGGAGATAACCCAAACCCTTGACGAGAGCAGAGGAGCCAGGATAAAGGGAGCACGGATTTTCTTTTTGGCTTGTACAAAGCCACTTCGAACCTCCCTGGTATGAGTATTGTCTCTCCACCACAGTTCCCATTTCATGTCCCAAGTCCCAAAGCTGTGGCTGGGGTTGGATGGGGGGAGTTGTGGCTGTTAATGGGGATCCCATAAGTTAGACCTTGCTTGGGGTGTGCTTGGGGCCGGGGTGGCAGCCACGAAGAAGGTGAGGACTGGTTGGACATGAAGATTATTTAAGTACAGTGGACAGGGCATGCTGAAAGTTTGTTTGGATAGCAAGTTAAGGAAAATCAAAAGCACCTTCGACAACAGCTAGAGAGTCACCTGAACATCTAAAATGCCTTCAAGTCTCACAAATTCCAGAGAGTGCAGGAAATGAATTTATGGCAAAAGACTTCTCCTGGATGTTTTGCATATAAAAAACCCTTTTATTTCCCAGACAGAAGAAAGTGAGGGATGAAGCACGTGGAAGACAGAATGTGGAAAGAGCCTGGGCTGAGGCGTCTCAGG